GGTGAACATGATGTTTGAGCTTTAGCTATGCCACTTTGTGCACAACACTAAGATAGATTGGCTTCATTGGCTCAATATGGCATAGCTTTCTCACAACCTCTAGCATCGTGAGTTTACAAGACAAATCCCCTTACAGATAATGAATGGGCATTAGCCCTTTACAACTAATGAAGTAGCTGTGAGATAACTAAACCAAAACATATTGCTTATAAGTATGCTCAAGCGTGGAATGAGTAATAAGACTTAGCTTGAGCTTACCTCCATAAAGCCATTAAAAAGGCCAAGAAATGGTTTGATAAATCTTAAGGAGAAAGGCTCATATCGATACAGGGGACATGGTAATGGTGAAACTCCACTTGTGTTAAGGCATAAATGGCCACACAAGAGCCTTGTTCGAAGGTATGAAGGACCTTACAATGTCATGAAAAGAATAAAAAAGGTGGCCTATAAGCTTGATATGCCACTCGAACCTAAGGTTCATTTAATCTTTAAAGTGATCATGATCCTACCATGAGGATGAGGTGGACCTTAACGGATGAGTGAGCCATAAGGCACTAGTTAGGGTCAATACTACATGTGAGAAGGAGCTAAAGGAGGCATTGGTTGTTAAGGTGCTCAAATGGAAGACCTACATGCCACAACACTAGTATTTTATGAAGTGGAAAGGATAACCCAAGAATAAAGCTAGTTGGGAGTTAATAGAGGACTTATGGTAGTTCTAAGATAAGATGGAGGCATTCCATGGGCCAACAAGGATGCTATTAGCTGAAATGGGGGAGGGTGTCATGACTCGTGATTCAAAAATCCAAAAGGGGATACGAATGGCCATTGGGTTTGCAAGTGAAGTGGCAGGACCTTGGGTAGCCCCTTTTCATTGAGCCCATGAGATGGAGGAATAACCTTTTTAATGTAAAAACGCATAGATAGATCACTCGGGGCTCATGATAGCACATGACATGCATACAAGCTAGATTGCATGCAACGAGATAGCTTATGCTCACCATCAAGCTTGCTCGTATCTTTGCATGCAACATCAATAGGTAAATTGGGTAACATTACCATGAACAATCCACTATAAGGGCAAAATTATCAAATTATTGTGCGAGAGCCTCCTACTACATTTTGATTCATTACAGTTGTTTGACATAACTTCACTTGTTAAAGAGAATGAGCCTCATGTAGGCTCCAAAATAGATTGTAAAAGTAGGAGTAGCTATTTGAAGAGGCTTTGTATATAAATACCCCATCTTAACTCATTATATAATTACTCTCAAATCTCTCTTCTTACACACTTTTACTTTGCATACATTACTTATGTGTGTGCTTACATTTCATATTGCACATTGTATTGCTTGTAAAGGTTACCATTTTTATATTCTAGGTTGACTTAGGTTCGAGTTTAGCTTGCAAAAAGGTTTAAAGCCCCTAGTCGGGGATTTACTGAACCACCACGTGACATTGTGTGAATCATTGAGTTAACAAGAGAAAGCTGAAGTAAATACGACTAAGGTACATATGCTTCTAAACTTTTAACCAAAAAAAAATGCAAAAAGCTTTTCATTTCATTTCCTTTTTCTATGAGAAAGCCCTAAATAAAAACGAGTAGGAAGGAATCCCATTCACTCAGTTTGGTATTGGAATCATAAAATATTCCCACTTAAAACTTGGCAACATCTAGCTTAAATAATACACTTTGGATTCCTACTCTACTCCATTTCCAACTTTGCGTAAACAAAAATATTTATCAAACTTATCACCATACCATCTTTACAATCTAAGATATTTCTTTTTCTTTCTTTTTTTTTTAACAATATCATAAAGAAAGTTTTTGTTGTTTTAGAGAAAAAACAAACAACTAAAATTTCATTTGACTTGTATTTTTACTACCTTTTGCTTTTCTTTTTCAAAAAAAAAGAGTAAAAAGTACATCAGACATAAAAGCAAATAAAAATTTAAAGAATTATACACAAAACAACTAATATTAAATTACTTTAGATGAAAAAATGTATGATTTTTTTCTACATAAATGTATCTTATAATTGAAGTTATATTTGTTTTATAGCAATTCTTCAAAAAGTAAAAAGTAAATAACAAAAAATAGCTAAAAAAGGATAAAAAATAAAAAAATAAATTAATTAAGATGTTGATGCCTAAGTTGCCATATCTAATTGTCATGAATGATGCCCCGACTCCCTAAGTTAAAAACCTCCCTCCCTCTCCAATTACGCTACCATCATCATTGGGATTTAGTTTGGTACAATTATTATAAGAATTAATTAAAATTTTATGCACCTCTATGTATATATATTTGCAAGAGTATGGAAAATGTTAAGGAGTTGATCCTGAATCTGGTGATTATCAGGAGACGAGAATCAACAGTTTGTTTAAATAATGAAGATGGTTGTTGGTTGACTAAACAATGGTATCTGAGCCCTTGTCTTAAGGGATCATTTTACTGCCTCATTACTAATTGGTGTTTTGAAGAAAGAATCAATGGCTAATACTGGTTTTTCCACTTCAGCTCCTCTTATGTTTATAGGCTCGAATTACAGAGTTTGGGCTATGAAAATGAGATCTTACTCTAAGGCTTTTGTCCTTTGGGTTATGGAGAATGGTGAGCTACCTGTGCAACGGCATGCCAATCCAACCATTGCCCAAATAAAGTGACATAACGAAGAGGTCACCAAAAGGTACAAAGTTTTGATTTGCCTTCAATCAGCTGTTTCTAAGATTATATTTTCTAGGATTATTAAGTAGAAGATCCTAAGCTTGTTTGGAAAACTCTGAAAGAGGAATTTCAGGGGAATGAAACTACTAAAATGCATCAGATTATGAGCTTAACCAAAGAGTTTGAAACACTGAGAATGAGGAGTGATAAGGGAATCTAAGCTTACTCTAATAGGAACGTTGCTAGGACAAGCAGTTACAAAACGGAGAATAGTGGCTAAATTTCTCATTAGCTTACCTGAAAGGTTTAAAGGAAAGATCACTTCCTTAAAAAATTTTAAGAACTTAACTAATAATCTATTGGCTTTTGAGCAGAAAAGAGCTATGAGGACTGATTATATAGAGAATGCCTTAGTAGCTAAGACTAAGGGACTGAAACTTAAGGGTAATGGTTCCAAGAAGGGTGAATCAAAAGGGAATAAAAGTGGTAACAAAAGTGGTGGAGTGAAACTGTTCACAGTTGAGATCAAAAACAATTGCTACCCGCTGAACTTTGCTGATACAACTCATTTAGTTTTTTGCAGTGAACATGACTTATTTGAAACTTGGCACAAGAGGCTTGGTCATGTAAACTACAATGCTTTGTCTTTGATGGCATCTCAGAATCTTGTTAAAGACTTACCTAGAATCACAAAACCAAATAAGCTTTGCCAAGCTTGTCAATTTAGTAAG